TCCAAGATGATAGAATAAAAGGATAAAGGATAAAGCATTTGCCGTTGATCAATCCCTTTTTGGGATGCGGCACGCATTCTACTTCCATTACATTCGTAGTGGCATTTGAATGCGATGTGGCCTATACAATGACTTGCGGGGGCCAGCCGATGTTCAAGTCAGTGTTTTTATCCTCCCAGACAAGTCTGGTACCAATTAACCGACCCCGGAGGGATGGAAGGCTTGGTTGGCCCGGGCGACTTTCGACCCAGGATTTGATCCCGGACCGCTGCGCGTAGTAAGCTGCACCACTTGCACTACACCACTTCCTGCCCTGAAATTGAATGAAAAAAAACGAGAAAATATAGAATTCAATGAACCCAAAGTCAAATCCTGTTTTCAGGTATGGTTTCAAAACCGACGCACGAAATGGCGTAAGAAGGAAGCCGCTGACAACGCTCTCGGTAAACGTCAAGAAGATCTGAAGTCACCTAGCGAGCAGATACAGACACTCCAGAACATTCCCTTCATCACCTCTCCGAACTGAGCTCAAAACAGAGGGCGACAGAATATTAGTAACGTACAACGCCAGTACTTCACCTTCATACCTACCATTTCCAAGGCAATCGTTGTAGGACCGCATGGAACGCACTCGCATGAGAATTTTTTCCAATCACTCCCAAATTTTTCGGATCAGTGAACTCCTGCGGTTTAACATTATCAATCCATAGAGGTTTTGTTCGTGTGATATCACATATACTAGTTCGTTTATTTCCAACTCATTTCTTATGGTGACAGCTAGCGCAGTTTCGCCTCCAGTAACTCATCATTTGATCACCCATTCCTGTTATTTTGCCACAGTCTTGCCCGGCAACATGGGTGAGTGATTTGTTCCTCTTCTTCCACGGAATTCTCTCCTGTTTCGCGCCAGAAGACCCCAATTGTGGTCCCATGGGCTGTCATCGACGACAGCAACTTTTGACAGGCCTTTCCGACGTCCCAGTCTATGATCTCCGTTGTTTCTCCGTTCGTTTTCCTATTATTTGTTCGAACCTAATCGCTGTATTTGTACACAAGCATTACTATACAAAAAAATTTATTGTGTCTTAGCTAAATTAATTTTACAAAAGAAGGATCGTGTGCTTAATAAATCTCTAAATTACATGTCTGTTTCAGTCGTCGTCGGAATGAAGTTTTCTTAGTTTTTCCACAATATTACGATTCTGCTGTATAAATAGGGTGGGCTCAAAACCTACGAATCCGGGCAGAAGAGGGTGAGCCGACAAACGCGTTCCGAGGGGGACGGGACAGTGCAAAAAACCATTTCAAATCTATGAATAGATGTACTGCTGTCACAAGCATGTGGAAAGCTCTCAGGCTTAAGTCGAACCGCTGTTCTGGATTGCCACCGGAACTCACGCAGCACATCCTTTCAATGTCTCGCTGCCTATGTAGTTACAATGATGGCATGTGGGTGTCCCCCAAGAGGCCCATCGCGCGGCGAAGGAAGAGACGCAGATGCGGCAAAGGACGAGTCGCAGCGCGTGCTGTGCGATATGAGACGTAGTATGGTACACTCTATTTAACCTGACGCCTAACCGCTACAGTATGCGCTGCGACTCGTCCTTTGCCGCGTCTGCGTCTCTTCCTTCGCCGCGCGGTGGGCCTCTTGGGGGACAACCCATGTGGGTACGTAGTATGCACTAGTAGGTATTATCGCATCAACGCCGATGGCAGCCAAGTGGGCTGCCGCGGATGCGTGCTCCAGGAGCATGGCAGCCCACATGGCCTGCCAGCAAGGTCAATACCATGTTGGTACAAGTACAAACGAGGGGTCATATTTGGTTCAGCTCGTGGTGGGGGGGGGGTACTCGCGGTGGTCGGCAGTGGTGAGCAAAGCCTTTTACACCCAGAAATGAAGAGGAAGACTCGCAGAAACAGCAGCAGCAAACATGTAGCTTCGTTCGAAGAGAGTGCCCGCACCATGTATGGATCTAGCCACGAAACCACAGGTGAAACTGAGGTGAAACTGGAGCATTGCCTGAACAACATGGATAATAGCCACCACATTATGTTTACGCAAAATAACTGATACTAGAGCATCTATCAGGTCACGCTTCCCTCCAAATGTACCTTCAAATGAATCAGCGACTACCACTACGAGACCATCCAACTCCACTCAACAAAGCCTCACTATTGTATTTTCACCATCCACCCCACCCCCCGTAATCACTCCAGGCACAGTCAATGTGGGATAGCTGCACTGAGAAGGAAGGGCGGGAAGTTCAACACCTCTCTCCACAAACACAAACATGGTCCGTGAGAGCGAACACCGCCCAGTCAACTGAACCTTTCATCTAGTTGGGATCATCGCGCATCCACTGGGAATCACTCGCGAACAGACACTATATCGCTCTTATATAAAGTACACTGCTTTGCATAAATATAAATCCACCTGAAAGTTCTTGAAAATTCGCATGATAGGGTGTTTCTGAAAAAGCCTTTGAAAGAAAAATGTGCTCAATATAAATAGGATTTCGAGTGTAAACACCAACTTCCATTTCAAAACACGAAAAAATTTTATTTTATTTTTTAGAAAAGGGTTGTTTCTCGGTCGACATCATTATTATTTGGTGGAACTGTTAGGTTGTTTCCAATTCCTCTTTGTGAAATGATGACGGAAGTAACACCGTTGTCGGACTCAGGAAAAACGCAAAATTTGCGGAAAAGTGAGGAGATCCGCCATGCAGTCGAACCACGTCATTTTTCGTCAACATGTGGTGGATTTATATTTTTGCAAAATCGGCAAAGTGGCCCTTTTCTAAAAAATGAAAATAAAAAATTTTCGTGTTTTCGAAATGGAAGTTGGTGTTTACACTCGAAATTATATTTATATTGAGCACATTTTTCTTTCAAAGGCTTTTTCAGAAACACCCTATCATGCGAATTTTCAAGAACTTTTCAGGTGGATTTATATTTATGCAATGCAGTGTACGTATCCAGATTCGCCTGTAATGACTGCAGAACTTTCTATCATTGCTATTAAGCACAGGGAAGCATGCAAATTGCTCTTGAAAGTTATTCGAAATCGATACTGCGAAGCTAACAACGTCGCTTTGAGTAATAATCTCCTGGAGCACCTGGTGCGCATCTATTTTTTTTATTTTTTTTCTATTTGCAGACCACGCCTTACGCAAGCTTCCATTGAAGAAAAAAGTGACTCAAGTCCTAGCTTTCTGCTGATGACCTCTCCTAGGCCTGTTGGCCGTAAAGCGCCAACCCCTGATCGATGTGGTGGGATAAGCGGTCTATAATGAAATTATGAATGCTGACTTAAAATCAAAAAAAAGAAGTAAAACGAACTGCCGTTGAAGCTCACAAACAAGGACTCCCCCTCTTCTCCCTTGAAATGAAGGAAGGGCGGCCCGGACGAGTTGTCTGGGATTGCTTGTTCCATAGCTCCACTAACAAATCGATTAACCGCCTTGCGTAATCTACGTTGCGTGTCAGGGTTCTGTGCGAGGTCTCTCGTACATCAGCTCACATTAGCCGCTTCAGCTACTCTGTCAGCCCTAGCTTCATGTTCGACAAGACTTCATCGGGGTTGTTGCATTAAACGATGAAAAAGCAACCCATTTCAAATTAACCTAGGGATGGTGAGTGGTACACGAAAGAAGGAAGAACCATGAGAAACGGCCCAGAACCCGAGAAATGGGACCCTTC